AAACTGTTTCAGATCGGAGATAAACAGAGAAACCCAAACTCATCGCTCTGTGGCCAGCCTCTGCTCCCAGAGAACGACAGTTAATGAGCTTACGACACTGCAGTTCGAGTCCCCACCCTCGTCTCCAGGATGCTTCCCAAACACTTCTCTCCCCCAGACACTAAATTCTCGAAAAAACGGGAAAGACGGCGTCTCGGAGCTCCCCGTAACAACTGAAATGCGTCCTGGTTCCCGGTTCACTTGACACTGGGGATGCTCCGACGCCTGGATCGACATCTGCAGAGCGGCTCCCAGGAGGCCGAGGGCCTCGGGACCGGTTCTGCGGCAGAGGCAGCACGGCTTTGCACCCGGAGGGGCCCAACACAAAGTGTGCACGTGTGGGAAGCATCTGCCCACCAAGGAGACGTCCCTCTGTGTGCCAGGCTGTGAGCCACAAGCATGGAGAGCCTGGCACTTCAGCATCTTCCCTGAGCCACCCCCTCTCTCCTGGAGATGGTCCCTGGTCCCTCTTCGATTCTGTGATACTGGTTCCCGTCTGTCTACCCCAATGTCCGCACTCTCTGGTCCTCAGTGAGAGTTCTTGGGTGGCAACGGGACTGTACTTTCGCTATGGCCCCATGAGAAGACCGCGTTGCCCTAGGGCCACTGCAGCCGGAGGCGACTGCAGAACCAAGTTCTGGCTGACGGGCTGTGGCGGGGCGCCAGAGAGCCCAGGCCCCGCTCCGCCTCGGCCCGCCCGTGCTGCAGGCTGCGGGCGTGATGCGTAACGTATCAAGAACGGAGGAGCCAAAAGGTGCCCAAAAGTGGTGGCAGCCTTGGGTTGGTTCCGTCTAGAATTCTTTTCCTGGAGAGAGACTTCTATCTTGTCATAGATACAGGGATTTTGTTGGTTACCGGAAGCCACACCCAGCCCTAGCCGCTCCTCACTCGCTCCCAGATGCTTGCTACTTACTGACTTTTAGGCCTGTGCTCAGCACTGGGTTCTCAAGACGAGTGAGCTCGTGAGATTTTACAGTGGGAAAAACACACAAAGAAAAAGCCGCTCATCGTACAGCAGGGTAAGGACTGAGACAGGCACCCCAGGGTGCCGCGCGTCCTGTCGGGAAGCGGGCGGAGATCTTAACAGACGGAGATGCACGGGGTCTAAGGAGAGACCGATCCAGGGACTGGCTTCGGGGACACCACTTACTTTGGTTGGGGTGGCGATGGCCCGTTTGCCCTTCTCTGTTAGCAGGGGTCCCAGTTCAGCCAGCTCCACCGTGTCCGTGTCCCTGTCACTGGCGGGAGCCCCGCTGCCCTGTGCCACCACGGGTCCTTTGTGAGAGGACATCTGGCTGGTACCTCAATACCCTGCAGCTTCGGTTTGGGGAAAGGCTGGGTTGTCTCAGCCCGAGGGGCAGGGCAGAGAGCCCCTGTGGTGGCAGACACTGAAAGCAAACACAAACACGAAGGCTGTTGACAATTTTTTCCCCTCCCAGTACCACTGCCACAAGTCAGCGCTGAATAAGGCACGAGCTAATGAATGCACAGCCTGCCTCCGGCTCTACGGGACGATACATCGCCAAAACGAAATCGATTTCTTCCTCTCCCTCTTCAATATCACCTTCACTCAGAACCTCACTAATCTTACCAATAAGGCTGAAAATATAACACCTGGTTGCTTGCCTTCAAAGGGCCTGAGTTTTTGTACCAAACTGTCACCATAGAAAAACGGCTACTGACCTCAACACCCTCCCGCAGGCATAGGGCCCATTCAGTGAGAAGAAATAGCCTGTCATTCCCAAAGCTCTTCTGCCCAATAAAGGTCTGGTTTTGAGATTGTGGAGCAAAAATATGAAGTCAGCACCTGGCTGGCTGTAAATGCTACACAACCTCCCGAGCTGAGAAAGGAATTAAACGCCAACCAGATGCAGTCGGCTTTTATCTAGCAAGGCTGACAAGGGTGCCTTGCATGCAAAAGCAGCTTGGTTGTGGGCGAGATGCCCAGTGGTTAATTCCTCTGCAAGGTCTACTAATTCTGTTATAGGATTATAGCCTGGGTTCAACGCTTGGATAACAAGCTTTCATCACAATCGCTCCTGAAAGTAACCAACTACCTACCTGGAAGCAGGAAGCTGAGGACGAGGAGGCAGCGCTGCCCCTTGCCTGACACATACCAAACAACCGGCTTGGCAAGAGCCTGCCCCTGCCACCGCAGGTCACGCCTGAGCCCCGCTCAAATCAGGTTTCAGAAACCAGAGACAGGCACACAGATCCTTTAGGAAAACCAAAGAAACTCAGACCTTGGTTTTCCAGGAAAAGTCTTAAAAAACTTCAGGTTTTCCTGAGTTAGGGTCCAGACAGTTGTCTTTAATCAGGCCTCAGGGAGATGAAAATAATATTGAAAAGAGGGGAAAGTGCCCAAAGTGTTCCACTACCTAGTGTTTTTCTCCCAGAAACAAAGGGGATCGTCACCGCCAGCCACAGCAGCAGCCAGGACGTTGGCGTTTTCTTGCGCCGCTTAGGGCTGTGCGAAGAGGGCCCGGTAACACCTGCACACGGAGCGAGCTGTCACGGGAGTGGACACGTGAGCTTACAGAACCCGAATCTTTTACAGCAGTGGGCAGTGAGTGTGACTCTGTTCCCAAGGGGGAGACTCTCTCCCATAGCTGGCCCCTGTACAAATGACTTCACCATCGCATATCAGTTCCTTTTTTTCAGCCAAGAGTAATCGCAAGTCCTTGTCAGGGACTATAGTTGTGTTCACGTGGCCAGGTGAGGGCAACCCTCAAGTTTTAAGACCGTCAGTCGTGCAATGCTCCACTCACACGCACGGCCGAGAGCGACAGGCACGTCTAGCCCGAGACATCTAGCCACTGGACCGCAGACCTTTGCACGTGTCAGCACAGAAGAGTTCCTCTTTCTTCAAGTGTGCAAGACAGACACAGTCGCAGCTGACAGTGGAGCTCACGGAGAACAGAAAACGGGAGGCCCCTGAAACCTCAGGAGACAGGCAGCCCCCGTGAGAAGGAACAGGGGAAATCTTTTTCAATAGGCCGACCACAAAACCTATTTTCTCAAAGTGAAGTACTGCCGAATCAACACCTCTACTAAGTAAGAATTCATACCAGAGCAAACATCCATAGCTTCGGCATCTCGGAGAGTAAGTCATGAAAGGGGAACGCACGTGGCGTAGCTTACTGCTGGCAGCGCTGCGGGCGCAGAGAGTCTCCCCAGGTTCTGGTGCACATGACTACATGGGTGACCAACTCATACATGTGCCTGATTTGGGTCAGAATCTGTGTTGAATGAAGGAATGAATGAATGAATGAGTGACTGGGGGCGCTCTCCAGCCAGCAAGCATATGATTTCCAAACTTTCTCTCACTAGCTAAGGGTTTATGTTGTTTCTTCTGCCTGTGGGGCTCTACCCTCTCCCTCTGCCCAGAGTAAGCCAACACGTCTGCTGCACATTTAACCGCCGTACTTCGTGCTGGCGCCCCAAGGCAGGCTAAGGTGCCATGCAAGACACAAAGCTGAGCAAGTGAGGTCAACGTGTTCACAGAGCCTATGACTAGATGGCACAGGTGCTTTACGACAGGTGCCAAGTCAGCAATGCGATTCCACTGCTCCAGGAGGGCAGTGCAGGGAGAACCTCTAAACCAGAACGGCCACAGCTCAGTTCAGTTTTGGTCCCTGGGTGACCAAAAGGCTATGAGAATAACAGAGGCCAACTTGAAGTTGCGCAACCGGGGCCTGAGGTCAGATGCGGAACCTAGCTTGGTATTGCTGTAACTTCCGCTACTGGTCTGAAAGGTTCTGTGCTCCCAAGTCCAGTGTTCTCTTAGGGTGACCTTAGTCTCTTGGCCATCATCAGTCCTTTCTCTTTCTGCTCATTCTTCGGAATCCCTCCAGCTCCTCCGTCACTAGCTCCTACGCTCCCTAGACCCAGAGTCACTAAACCTAATGCCCCAGTTAACTCATAGATCAGCGGCCAGCTCTAAGTCATCACACAGACACGTTATCATGCACTCGAGTATGCCCGAGGACGCCACCAAGGGAGCAAAGTCCACCGCCCACTTTGGTCTTCTGAACTGCAGCGACGCAGACAGAGAAGGGAGAGACACGGATCAGAGGTCTGGCAAGAAAGAAGGGCAAGTAAGACCAGGACCTGAAGATGGAAGCTCTGCCGAGAGGGCCACTCGCAAACAACCTGCAGCCACGCAGGGCCCGGATCTTCATTCTATGAAAGCTGCGGACTCTGTGGGAGCATTCCGGAGAGCCACATGCACTTCAGCTTCCCGCCGGCCTTCTGCATCCTCCTTGGCACTTTAGAGCAAACACATTTCACCTCAAACTCACCACACCTAACACAGCAAAATATAACTGGGCCAAACTCCGCGGAACGCATTTTAGATGGGATTTCTCCAATTTGAGCTAATAAACTATTACCAGTAAGCTTTCCCACTGGATAAACTACGATATTAGCGAACGAAGCTGGGGAGCCAGGGAGCTGTTTGTGCTCCTGTAAGTAAGATAGTCTTGTGCCAAGCCCGGGACAGGGCTGATTCTTAATCTCTAGGCAGTTAGCTGGAGAGTTTATTTTGCTCGCAGTTTTTGAGACATTTATCCAGTTCCTAAGTTTTCCAAGCTGGAGCACACTCCTTTCCTGGAGTTAAAGGTACAAAGAAGTTCCTAATTTGGGGTCCCTGTACCCTTAGAGAGTCCACGGGTTGGCTGCACCTATGTCTGACTCTCACTGTTTTAAAGCAAGACTAGTGTAGCAGTAAAGACAGAGAACACAGCCATCTTGTCCACTACTCTCTTCGTCAGGAAAGGTGGTTTCGTAGCACTGCTCGGGGAAAAATGGTCGAGGCAAAAGCCTATGTTTCAAAATTACCCATATGCAATAACAGGGCCTCCTACTTGACGCCGAGAGTCACCGCCCTATTTCCCTTCCTAGCTCTTCACCAGTTAAAGCCATCCCAACAGAAATGGTCTTTTTGATCCTGAACAGATTAGAAAAAACTCCACTATAAGGAATAAAGCTTTGGGATGTACAGATGCCTGTTTAGTTCACCAGTGTGATTGCAAGTAGATGGGACAGAATAATGTGTCAGGAGTATTAAAAGAATTTCAATTTGGCTTAATTATAGAGAAATAGAGATCTCCTAGGGAAATTGCCTAGCAAATAGAGAATGAACTTACTGGCCAAGGAAGGAGCACAAATTCAGTGGGAGATTTCAGAAAGGGCCCTGACAGGGAACGCTGGGAGCAGGGCATTCTAGGAGGGTACGGCGGTATGAACACAGCACCTTGAAAGAACAGCCCCCAGGGCAGCGAATGACCTGCTTTTCCATAAGGGAGTCTAGAAAGGTAACAGGAGACCAGACTGAAGAAACTCAAGGGAGCCTAAAAGCCCACCTGCTGGGGCACACCCTACCCATTAGCAGCGGGGCTGGTAGGTTACTGCTGCTTCCTGAGACTGGCCTGAGATTCTTCCTACTTGCAGGCAAAGTGGCTGGTTCATTTCTTTTCTTCTCTTATTTATTTTTTTTTTAATTTCTCGGGAATCACGTAATTTCTTGGCCACTGAGAACAAAATGCTTTCAGATCCTACTTTGCAAGTAGGTAGTTTCGTGGCGGTCTATTCTATCACGGACCTTCACAGGCAGCACACAAGCTTTTAAGACTGCTTCCCCAAGTACCATCTACAGGGGAACAGAAGTTACTCCTGGAATGAAGAAATTTAGTGGCTGGAGCTGGGACCTGCTACCCTGATACTGCAATCTGTTAGCACCACCCATTCTGAATTCCTACTGCTGTACAGACGCTACAAAAGCATCAGGAACAGCAGCTGCTCCACGACAGGTGACCCAACCCCTATCGAGAGACAAAAGCAGTGAACAGAACACACTACTTCATTTCAGAGAAGAACCATCCATTACAGTGTTTACTTGATTTATATTGGCCGCTTAAATCCCTGCTGTTTTCCAGTCTGCCTTCTAAATACGCGGGGGGAAATACCACGGTGTGTCCAGCGAAGTACTATGTAGCCCTCCTATCGCCCCACTGACACCTGAGACTGTCAACTGAAATGCCCGTCGCCAGTTTCCGACCGCCTGCGAAGCACGAGGGACTGAGGGAAAGTGCATAGCCCTTAAAAATCGCAGGCGTGAAGCTCAAGTCTCAAACGTAAGACGGCTACATCGACACGAGATTTCTGAGGGAAGGTGATGCCGATTTCCCCCAAAGTAGTTTAGATCTTGCTAACATTTCCGCCTTTACGACTACCTTAAATAAAGGTAAATCGTTCACCAACCTCCCCTTCCCCAACAGCAAGGTGTGAGCACTGTTACGGTCTGGTCTGCCAAAGACTGCTGGGCGAGGAACTCAGGGCTCCCAGGCCACCGAAGGCAGGCAGGTGCTCCCCGGTGGGACCCAGGCCCGCACCCCCACACCCCACTTGCCTCGCGCGGGGGCCTGGGGACCAGCCTTAGCTCAGGCCTGGCCGGTCCCAAGCCGGAGCCTGAATCCAGACGTCTCGCCCGCCGGCGGGGCTGGGGAGACACAGAGCCCAGCAGAACTGCCGGCCGCTGGAGAAAGCTGGAGGACGGGCAGCCGACCCGCCCTATGGTGGCTTCCGAGGTCGCCTCGGAGGCGGCGCGCTGTGGGAGGGGCCGGAAATGTTTACAACCCTGACAGCCGCGAAGCCGGGAGGCCCGGCCGGCTCCAGGACCGGGGTCTCGGGACGCTCGGGGCGACCCCGCAGCAGGCCTGGTCCGAGACGCCCGGGCCCCCGCGCTGCACCGATTCCCT